GGCTTTGAACTCACAGAGATCTCCTGCCTCCTCCTCCTGAGTGCTGGGACTAAAGATATGTGCCAGCACCCCAGCCTTTGGATCCTGTTTTTCAATCCTCCCTGTAGCCCCAGCTGGCCTGGAACTCACTATGTAGATCAGACTGGCTTGCTGGGACTAAAGATATGTGCCAGCACCCCAGCCTTTGGATACTGTTTTTCAATTCAGTGTGCTAACTGGTGTTTTGTTGTTTTGTTTTGTTTGTTTGTTGTTTTATTTTTTATTGGAGAATTGAGACTATTAATTTTCAGTTATTATTTAAAGTTGTATATTAACTCCTGTCACTTTGCTGATTTTGTAATGTTTGGTGCTTTCCTAATCTTCAATTACTTAAATACTATTGTAGCATCCCCCCACCTCTCCCTTCCCACCCCTGTAGCCTCTTGGATAAGTTCATCCTTCTCTTAATTCCAAAGAGTTCCTTTTAGTATCCTCATAGAGCTGGCTCAATTGTTTTATCCTTTAGTCTGTTTTTAACATAGCATGTTTTCTTCTCCATCAGTTATGACAGATTGTTTCATTGAGTATAGTAGTCTGGGTTGTCAGCTGTGGTCTTTCAGAACTTGAAACACATCTTCTCTTTTTCTTTTTATTTCTTTTTTGTCTTTTTGAGACAGGGTCTCCCTGTAGCCCCAGCTGACTGGAACTTACTATGTAGATCAAGGTGGCCTCAAACTCACAGAGATCTGTCTGCCTTGCCTCCCAAGTGCTGAGATTAAAGGCGTGTGCCACCATGCCCGGCTGAAGCATACCTTTTCATACCTTTCTGGGTCTTAAAGTTTCTGTTATTCTGATGGGCCTGCCTTCCTATGTGACTTGGTATTTCTCCTTTGCAACACTCAATACACTTTTGGTTGTTGTTGTTGTTCTATATGTTTAGTGTTTCATCTATGAAATGGGGCATTTCTTTTCTAGTCCTGTCTATTTAGTGCTGTCTGTGTCTCTTGTGCTTGGATGGACTCTCTTCCAAGACTTGGGAAATTTTCTGCTACAGTTGTATTAAAAATATTTCTGCACCTTCGGCATAGAGTTCTTCTTCTATGACCATATTTCATAGATTTGGTCTTTTCATGTTGTCCCAAAGATCTTACATGATCAGTTCATGTATTTTTAAAAAATTATCATTACCTTTGACTGAATATACTAATCCCTTTAACTTGTCTTCAAGCCCTCATATTCTGTCCTCACCATGATCTATTCTATTGGTGAGGCTTTCCATTGGGCTTTTTGATTGACTGAAATTTTCATTTCCAGAGTTATTTCAGTTTGGTTTTTCTTCTGTATTTCTATCTCTTTTTAAAATATATATATTTATTTGTGGGAATGGAGAGATGGGTCAGCAGTTAAAAGCACAGACTGCTTTGTAGAGGGGCCAGTTTCGATACCCAGTACCCACAGGAGCTAAGAACCATCCTTAACTTCAGTTCTAGGGGAATCTGATGCCCTCTTCTGACGTCTGTGACATTGCACGACACGAGTGCATTCACATACATGTAGCCAATACACTCATAGACATAAAATAAAAATTTTTTAAATATATTTATTTTTACTTTATGTATATGAGTGTTTTGCCTGCATGTATGTAGGTCACCACAAGCATGCAATATCCACAGAAGCTAGACAAAGGCATCAGATCTTCTAGAGCTAGAGTTAAGGATGATTGTTAGTGGCCATGTGGGTGCTAGGAAGCGAACTTGTATCTTCTGCATAAGCAGCCAGTGTTCTTAATCAATGAGCGATCTTTTCAGCCCCAATGTTTCTATCTCCTTATGAAATTCCATTTTCATATCCTGTACTGACTTCCTTATTTCATTCAGCTGTTTGTGTTCTCTTGGAGTTAATTCTGGAGTTAATTCATACGCTCTTTCATTTTTTTGAACATTTTTATCATCATTTTTAAAAATTCTTTGTCTGGAGTTCTTTCTGTCACTCTCATTGGAGGTTATCGCTCTGGGATTGGTAGATTTTGTGTGAGCCATGTTGTCTTGGTTTTTCATATTACTTGTGTTTTCATGTTGGGACTATGCGCCAGGGATAGATCACTGATGGGAAGAGTTTGGAATGTCTGGGAGGGACTAGGTTGTAGCAGAGTTGAAGTGTCATTTCCTCTGCTAGACTCGTGCTCACAGCATCAGGCTCTATTCTATCCCAGCCCTCCCCTGAGAGCAGAGCACTGTCTGCAACAGTCACAATCCAAGAAAAGACTCACTATGAAAATAGAGTAACAGTCAACCACACAGCAATAATCCCTAAGTGATAATCATATTAGGGAGAAAAGGGATATTAGTAGTATTGAATGTACTAATATATTAATTATTTTGAATATAAATAGAAAGAAAAAGAAGGAAAATTATAGTAAGACCAGTGGTAAGAATGGAACTGAGACTATGGTGGCTCATGCCTTTAATTCTAGTACTCAGGAGGCTGAAGCAGGAGAATCACTGCAAGTTCATGGCCAGTCTAGTCTACAAGCAAGTTCCAGGCCATTCAGGGTTACATAGCAAGACACTGTCTGAAAAAAAGTCAGAACCAGTGGAATCATTAGTTTGAGGCCAACCTGGACTATACAGTGAGAGTCTCATCTTAAAAAATGTTTTGTGGAGCTGGAGTGATTGTTCAGCAGTTAAGAGCACTGACTGCTCTTGCAGAGGACCTGGGTTCAACTCCCAGCACCCACATGGTGGCTGACAACCGTCCTAACTCCAGTTCCAATGCCCTTTTTGACCTCCTTGGACACTGGATAACAGGGGTGCACTTACATACATGCAGGCAATATACTCATAGACATAAAAATAATAAATATTTTTAAAAGAAATTTTCATTTAAAAACATTGATCAAAGCCAGGTGTGGTGGCATACACCTATAAATCCAGCACTCAAGAGGATGAGCCAAAATTACTGTGACTTCAAGGCCAGTCTGAACTACACAGTGAGACCCTTTGTAGAAAAAAAGAAAGAAAGAAAGAAAGAAAGAAAGAAAGCGAGCGAAAGGAAGGAAGGAAGGGAGGGAGGGAGGGAGGAAGGAAGGAAGGAAGGAAGGAAGGAAGGAATAATATCTCTTAATGAGGAGGGTAGGCACCTCTGTTGTTTAAAGTTATGTATTTGAATATTATTTTGACTTTTTTTTTACACAAGGCCTCATGTGGGCCAAGTTGTCCTCAAATTAGCTGTGTAGCCAAGGTGACCTGTATCTCCTTCTTCTACCTCCCAGAGTGTTGGAAGTACAGGTGTGCATCACTGTACCCAGTTTGAAATGTATGTGAGTACTACCCTTGTTTTTAGAAGTCAGTTTAGAGGTAGCTATGGAAGTTTGATGTTTTGTTTTGTTTTGGTCTTTTTGAGACAGGGTATTCCTTTAGACCCAACTGGCCTGGAACTCACTATATAGAACAACAGGCTGGCCTTGATCTCAAAAAGATCCACCTGCCTCACAAGTACTGGGATTAAAGAAATACTGGGGCTGGAGCGATGGTTCAGTGGTTAGGAGTACATACTGCTCTTGCAGGGGACCTGGGTTTGGTTCCCAGAACCCACATTGGGTGGTTCACAACTGCCTGTAATTCCAGTTGCAGAGGGTCAGATGTCCTCTCCTGACCACACAGGTGCATATTATGGATCCAGTGACACATTCTGGAGACCGATGACAATTGCCTAAGTCTGTGTCGGAAAAAGGAAGGCTAGAGAAAATGTCCAGGGTAACAGGGTGTTTGCTCATACATGAGAAAGCCACCACTAAAACGATGTTTCAATGATAAATCTAAACTGAGTTCCTTAAGTTTACTATGGAGATCTGTTCTCAGATGTCATAAGACTTTCTCAGAGGTGTTATCTAACATGTTTCATTAATTAAAAAAAACATGCATTTATTAATGGGGAGGTTCCTTTTGTCAGGCAGTATGAGTGCTTTATTTTTTTAAATTATTTTCATTTCACAAATCAGGAATCCAAGAATCTGTAACTGAAGCAATTCCTCTAGCACGCTTGAAACTCACAGCAGAGGCACAGTACATTTGTTTTTCTGACTCCAAAATCCACGTTTTTAACCACAGGAGTTGTAGAAGTAGATCAAAGCCCCCACTCCAGTATCCCATTTAAAATTCTGAAGAAAGAGAGAACTGAATTTGACCTTTGGGTGCTGAAGGACAGCAAACAATAACCGTAGGGAAATGAAGACTCTGCTGAACAGAGGAATTGTGGAAACTTCTAGAGCTTCTCTTCTTAGTCCACATTACCTAGAGTTTGACTAGTATTGACACAAACTCCTCAGCAAATGTGGATAAGCATATACGTGCTCCATCTATAGTAAGAGAAGACAAGCTAAATTAAAGTCAGTTCTAGGATAGTAAGCATGAAATAATAGACAGGAAACAGCTCCTGAGGTCAAAGCAGGGCTAAGTGATATATTTTGGGTTATGTCTTGATGTCATTGATTTTATTTCAAGATGTCAGCTTATTTTTCAGCTTTAATCCCAATTAAGTAATGACTTTTAGTTTGGCATGGCAATGTACTGAGAAGACTGAGGCAGTGGACTGTGCCTTTAAGATCAGTTTGGGCTACATAGCAAGACCCTGTCTTTAAAAACCATACAAAGTAAGAACTGAGTTTTCCTAGCGGCATGTTCCCCATTGACCAGTAGAACAAAATAGGCACACACACACACACACACACACACACACACACACACTCCAACTAGCCTTCACACTAATAGAAATATTTTTCACAAAGATTTTTATTTCTATTTTGTTGGCATAAAAAGAAATTTTAATTTTTAGTCACTCTTGGTTCTAAGGGATTTAATACAACCTCTATCTTCATGATGAATTCATGGTTTGGCCTCAATCATTCAAGGAGACCTCATTCCAAACTGATGTGTGGAACCATTGAGAAAGTCTGTGCTGAATAAGCGGTCATTCCCAGGGAAGTTCTGGTAAAGCACGAGATGACCTACTTCCTCTTACCGTCACTGGATGAGGCATTTCTGACCCACCAGGGTCTTCACAGCAACCTTCACATTCTTGTTTCTGAGGCTGTAGATGACAGGATTGAGCATGGGAGACAGCACTCCATAAAAGAGGGAGATGAGCTTGTCTGAAAGGTCCTGCTTGTCTGCTCCCAAGGGGTCCTTTGATTTGGGCTTTGCATACATGAAAAGAATAGTCCCATAGAAAATGACCACCACAGTGAGATGCGCAGAGCAGGTAGAGAAGGCCTTCTTCCTCCCCTCAGCCGAGGGGATCCTCAGGATGGTGGAGAGTATAAAGATGTAATCCTCAAGACATTAGTAAGGATGAAGACATAGGAGACGAAGATGAAGAAGACTGGGACCCCCAAAAACATCACATTGCCCACTGCCATGCAGATGACATTGATGGAGATGTCAGCACAGGCCAGTTTCAAGACAGCCAGGATCTCACAGGTGAAGTGATTGATAATATTGTCCCCACAGAAGGGCAGCCTCATTGCTAAAGATGTCTGCACTGTGGCAGTGATGCTTCCAGACACCCAGGAACTAACGGCCATAGACAAGTACACAGTCTTGCTCATGACCACAGGATATCTCAAGGGGTTGCAGATGGCCACATAGCGATCAAATGCCATCATGCTCAGGAGCACACACTCTGTGGCTCCCATGGCAAAGGAGAGAAACATCTGCACAGCACAGCCTGAGAAGGAGATGGTTTCCCTGAGAGTGAGGAAACCATCCAGGACCAGTGGAACTGAAGATGTGGTGTAGCAGATGTCCAGGAAGGCGAGGTTCCCCAGGAAGAAGTACATGGGTGTGTGCAGGTGGGAGTCCAGGATGGTGACCAGGATGAGGACCCCATTGCCCAGCAGGATCACCAGGTACATCAGCAGGATGAGCACAAAGAAAATTTTCTCCAGCTTTGGCTGATCTGACAGCCCCAAGAGGACAAAGTCAGCCACAGTGGATTGGTTGGCTGCTTCCATTTTTCGGGCTCTCTTTCCATCTCAAGAAAACAGAGGACAGTAAAGTAAGGATGAGGGAAGTGGGGTCAGTGAGATGAATCAGTGGGTAAAGGCACTTGCTGCCAAGCCTGATGACCCAAATTCTATCCCTGGAACTCATGTGGTAGAAGGAGAGAACTGATTCCCACAAGTTGTCCTCTGACCTCTATGGGCGCACACATAAATACATAAGTGTTAAAAAAAAAAAAAGAGAGAGGAAATTGAAACTCAGAGAGGACCACAGGCAGCCAGGACAAGCAGCTCCTCACCTTCTCCCTAGACGCCTTCCTTCATTACTCTGATTTATTCTTACGCTTTCATTTGTGCCAGAGCAGGTCTACTGAAGACTAAAGGCCCAATTATGAGGTTTTGTTTATTCCCATTCTCCCTAAGACACTCATGAAAAATAGTATCATGCCTTTCTCTAAGATCCTTGCCTTGAAGCCAGGCTGGAGTAGAGTAGATGGGGCCTTGGGTCCACACACTGCACCTGTGACCATTACACTGTTGCTGGGAAGAAGTGGGTGAGAAAGAGCAGATGCAGTTGAAACTCCCCTCATGCAGTTATAAAAGAAGCTGAGCCCTAGGCATCAGGACTATCAAGAGGTCTTTAGAGATGTTAGCATGACCGACTGGAGGAAGTAAGCCTTGGCAGTGATGTTGTGGGGATCCTCCATGAAACACAATTGTCCCGTTTTTTTGTTTTGAATACTCGAGGTATCTGTAGCTCACATTTCCCATTCTTTCGTCAGGCAGCTTTGAGTCATAGAAAGTTTGACTTACATTGGGCAGAAACTTCCTTCTATTGTCACCTCTCCACACATGTCCTTGCACTCTGTCCCATCCCCACACTAGCCTTGATGCCCTGTATGTATCTGCACCCTTTTCTCTATAAAAGATCTTAAGAGATTGGAAGCCAGGACTAAGTTCCAACCTTGGGTTCCATTAGTCCTTGGATTCCCACCTTTGCTCTTCCCACATACTTGAAGAAGGTTTGACCATAGAGAGAACCCAGTCTGTGTCGGTTGAGCTGGTCAGTCTGTGGTGCAGGCAGGAGCTCACCCAAGCAGAAAGTCTCATGGTGAGGAAGATGCTACAAGTTCTCTGGGCTTGAGAAAGGATGGTTTCAGCTGCTCACCTTGGGCCTGCCTGACCCAGCCCTGTCTGTTGGGCTGTAGCATGCAGCAATTTCTTTTTTGCTATCTTGGGAATTAGCTGTCTCTTCAAATGGCACAGCAAAGAAGAAGAAATACAGGGTTGGTCATAGCTGGGGGCTCAAGCGACCCCCTGTTCTAACTGGGCTTCCCCACACCCAGTGAGAAAACTAGAGGGACAGCCAGGGTGGCACTTTGCAGCTGCTCCAGGAGTCGTGCCCAGCTTGTGAGTTCAGTTCTTTCTGCCCTCTGCCCCTTTCCTGGCTCTCCAGAGGGCCTATCAAAGAGCCTGGAAAAATTTAGAGTTGTATCTGTTTGGAGGCCAGTTTTAATCCCAGAGGCAATTTAAAGTTTGGGGAAAGGCCTCAGAGGAATTTAGGGCCCCTGTTCCATAACTACAATTAGAAAAGTTGCAGACAGCTCTATTCAAATCTTCACTCTCACTATACAGGAATGTTCCTCGGATAAAAACAAAAACAAAAACAAAAATCTTCCCATTCTGTAGTGTCTGGCCTCCCTGGAAATAGGGGAGATAAGGAGGTTTGACTGCGTTTTGACCACAAAGTTATGTTCATCTGAGGGGGCTATACCACTTGTCTCGTGAAGCTGTTTCAAAACAAGAGATGGAGCTGAGACAGACACATTGGTCATCCAAATGTTCCCCAAGTACCTGACCTTCCCTATAGGCCCTTAGCACATCTCCAGAGCTGACCAGATCTGCCTGCCCTTGGAAACAGGAAGTAAGAGACATGTACAATGAGTCAGCACCGAGTACTGGAAACAGTCAAAAAGGCATCAGGGCTGCGCACCTCCTAAAGATCCATCCTGTGAGATGAGTGCCAAGTCTCCTCAGCTGTTAGGGGAGCTCAGAAGCAGAGAAGAGGCAGAGCAGGAAGCTGAGAGGAAGGAGGTGATATCACAGGGCTTGGGGACAGACCAGGGATAAAGGGAGAGGCTAACGCAAGGAGAGAATTTCAAAACTAAGAGGAAAACAAAGAGAAACGAAACAAAACATCTAAAGCTGACAAGAAGCAGGATCTTGAACCTAGCATAGGAGACTGGACTGAGGGTTGTTCTCTCCAAAGATCCTCCACTGTTGTGCCCAGTTCGAGAGACACCCCCCCAAAGACCACCAAGGAGCCGACCGATGTAAACACACGAGGGCTTTTTATTGTTACAAGCTTAAGCTTGGGCCCACTCTGTCACTGACTCAGTGGATCTCAGATGTGAGACCCCTTGCTTTGGGAGACAGAGGTTTTTATAGGTTTATTTCAGCAAGTTCAGCAAATAGGGGAGTAGGGGGTCTCCAGCCTGGCAAGCATCTGATTGGTTACAGCCCAGTGCCAAACCATAAACCACTGGCTTCAGGAAATCTGAAAAGATATCTGGACTTTTAGTACTTTCCTGTCCCTGGTTAATTGACAACCGGCGGGGGAGTTGTTCTCTATCCGTTCCAAGTATCGTGGTTTTTCTTGGAACAGGGCCCAGGACTGGGTCAGTCCTATGGAGGTTTTATACAAGATGGAGTCACTCAGGTCTCTCACCACCTACTCTCTTATTCTGTACCAGACACTGGGGTAGTACCAAGGATACAGAGATGGAGGTGAGAGAAGCGGGGCGGGGGGAGGAGATGGAGGACATGGATGGGGAGGAGGAGATGGAAGAGGAGGAGATGGAGATGGAGGAGGAGGAGGAGGAGGAAGAGGTGATGGAGGAGGAGGAAGAGGAGGAGGAGGAGGAGGAGATGGAGGCAAGGGATAGAGGCAGGGGATGGAGGAGGAGATAGAGGAGGAAGAGATAGAGGAGGAGATAGAGGATGAGGAAATGGAGGAGGAGGAGATGGAGGAGGAGAAGGAAAAGGAGATGGAGGAGGAGGAAGAGAAGTTGTTTCTGCAATCAAAGAGTGTACAGATAAGCAGACAGGGAGGTTTTGAATTTACAGAGAGACACTATCAGCAGTAGTTGTTACTTTTTGAGAACTGTAGAAGTGGTTTTAACTAGCCCCTTTTAACAGGTTCCTCAGATTAACATCACCCATCATCCCCTCTGCAACATAGATGAGCCACCATAAATGTCAAGTTGTAGACTGTGCAATGCATCTGTTCCGTTGATAACTGAAGACATATCAATTTAAATTATACAAACTGTGGCTGGAGATATGGCTTAATCTGTGAAGTGCTTGCCTTGCAAGAAAGGGGACCTGAGTTTAAATCCCCAGAACCCTGGTAAAAGAGCCTGACATGGGACAGTTTTACAATTTCAGCACTGGGGAGGTGGAGACAGGCAGATCGGTATAGCTCCCAGTGAGCCAGTCTAGTGTACTTGGCATGCTTCAGGTCAATGACAGACCCTGTCACAAAATCAGGGGGATAAGACCTCCAGAGGAATGACACCCAAGGTTGTCTTCCGGCTTCCACATGCATGTATACCCCCCACAACTTTGTAACCCAATACAAACATGTACACACATACACCCCAAAAGCTACACAAACTGAGCTGGAAGGGAGTAGAAAGATAATCTTTCATTGAAAATAAAGTTGGATGTTTTGAATAGATCCATTAAAGGCAAATTATTGAACTTAACTGTGGTGGTATCAGATGTGGGGAAGACATACCGAAATAAAATCTCAACAGTCTTCACTCTGATCCTTTTGCAAAAGTCTTTACATTCATATTCTTATTTTTTAAATATTTTATTATTTTTATTTTATGTGTATGAGTGTATTGTCTATATGTATGTAAGTGCACCTGTGTCATGCAATGCCCTCAGAAGTCAGAGGAGGGTGTTAGATCCCCTGGACCTGGAGTTATGGACAGTTGTTAGCCACCACGTGGGTGCTGGGAACCGAACCCAGGTGCTACGTGAGGACAGTCAGTGCTCTTAACCGTTGAGTCATCTTTCAGTGCCTCCATTCTTATTCTTTAAGGAAATTAAGGGGCTGGAGAAATGGCTCAGTGGTTACAAATACTTGTTATTCTTAACACCTTCTTCTGGCCCCTGCACACACATGGTGCACTTACATACATGCAGGAAATGCAACCATACACATGAAATAAAAATAATAAATAAAACATTAAGAAAAAAGAAAATTAAAATAAAAAACTGTAGATAGTGTGCCATGGATATAGTTTCTTTAAGAATCCAACAATTACTGGACTTGCAGACAAGAAAAGGCTCTTGTTTTGTATAAAAAGATAGAAAGTCTTGCTATAGGGTTTTTGTTTGTTTATTTACTTGTTTGTATTTTGAACAGGGTTTTGTGTGGGCCAGGCTGACACCCAAACTTGGTATGCCACCAAAGATGACTTTGAACTCCTGATCCTCCAGTCTCCACCTCCCAAGTGCTAGGTTTTTAGATGTGTGCCATCACAGCTGGCACAGTTATAGATCTTAGCTTAAAACAAACTTTTTAGGCCAGCAAGATGGCTCAGTGGTAAAGGCACTTGCTGCCAAGGCTGGCAACCTTGAGTTCAATCCCCAGGACCCACATGGTGAACAACTCCCACAAGCTGTCCTCTAACCTCCACTGTGTGCCATGATGCATGCTCATGCATACATGTCTGTGCACATGCACAAAGTAAATGAATGTAATAAAATAAAAACCAAAATAAACAAAAACAAAGCCCCCAAATAAAATATATAAATAAAACCAAAAAACAAATGAACCCAAGGCAGTGGCATAGGTTTGTCGGCTTAAGGTGGTTTAAGGCAGTGACTCTAAAAATCTTTGTCTTAAGGGCCTTTAATAGTCTTCAAATTTTTTTCTTCCTTTTGCTTCTGATAGTCTTATTATGCATGTTAGACCTTTTGTCATTGCCCGTGGTTCT